TTGTCGATAAGAGTACAGACCATGCTAAACCACATTCAATTTGTTAATTTTATCAGGGAGAAGTCAAGGAATTTTGAAAGGTAATGTCTGTGGCAACCATGCATTAGAAATTCTGAGGGCTTAGCCTAAGACTAAAGTAGAATTGCACGAGGCGTGGGGTATGATCCAAAAAACGTTGGTGATGATTTTTCGGAAACAACACAAATTAAAGCAGATTGTTTTAAACTTATCATTTCAGGATGGGAAATCTTGGTGACATGGGAAAAGCAGGAAGTCTCCATGAGTATTTGATGTTACTTCATGAGAAGTATGGGACCATAGCAGGTTTCTGGTGGGGCAAGAAATACGTTGTCAGTTTGGCATCACCAGAATATTGGAAAGAAGTACAACCTCTGTTTGATAGACCTCGTAAGTAAGAATTCAAAGCGAATTACCAAACTAAGCAGTCAAGCAACTCTATGAAGCGCAGGGATTTCATTAAGGCCTGGGCACCGGGCAAATTGACCAGCTGTCAGAGGATGATTTTGCCTACCTGGTTTAAACAGCTGGAGGAAAATTTGACCTTCCTATAAAGAAATTTGGTTTAAAACATTTTGCTCACTGTGAAAACCAATTTCCCTCCTGCTGAAAATGTTAATGAACCCGTATTAGAAACGCGTTAATTAATTGTTGGTGGTCAACATTAAATATTTGGATAAATGAAAATTTTATACATGTTCTCAGTTTAACATATATGACTGAAATTAACTAGCATAATGTAAGAATTAAAAATAAAACACCCTTTATGATTTCCATGGCTTCAAAGTCTGTAAAATTGTAACAAAAATGTGCAAGACTTTGTAAAACAAGAAAACTTGATAAACAGACTATTATGAAATCAAGTTAGTAATATTTTGATGCATAGCTTATCTCCAGTTTGATTATCTCAACTAATCTGGGTGCAAAGTGGGGGATTTTGAAAATTAAAGATGTTTACAAGAGACAGTTTTAAGAGCTGCAAGCACAGTACAATTTAGGTGTTTCATTTTATTAAATTATATATATTTGTAAAACTGGCTGCGGGCCTTTTTTAATGATCCAGTTACTACAGGAAGCCAGGCCCCCCTCTCTCTTATATAAATATTGTAAATATCTGTAATATTGTAAATAGGGCCAGATGGGGGAAATGAAATTGCTTGTTGTTGTGGTTGTCAATCACATGTTTAAGAATTTAAGTACAGCTGGAATTTGTCAGATGGGTGACTTGTTGTTCAAATACTTTGCTGTCTACCTTTTGACAGCGGATTTGTTCAAACTGTTTGAGCCTCTTATCGGAAAGAAGAGCATTCAGTATGCCAATGGTCCAGAGGGAAGAAAGAGACGTCAGCTGATGGATAGAAGCTTTAGTCACGAGGCTGTGAAAGACTACTATGAACACTTTGTCAAGGTGAATGCATTGGAATGCACGATAAGTGCTGGTTATGAAGTACTCTGCGGGGGGCTGGGGGGNGGGCTCATACATTCTTTGTAAAATTTTGAGTTTTTAAACCCACCTTGGGCTCAATGCATTCAATGCATCGGGCTCAGATTCCTTAGGACAGTTAATCATGCTACGCCATTTCAATATTGAGAACCAATGTTTTTGTAGCTCCATCAGAAACTGTATCGCTCATCCTAATGAGGCAAATATTGTAAACAAAGATTTGCCTATAAGAAAACCATACCCATCCCAATGAAAGGCCATTGCAAATTCCAAGGAGATGGGATGTTTCAAAAGTTAAACATTTTAAAGGAAGTTGGGATGATGAATAATGGTAAACCTCAAGACTTGCCAAGACACTAAGAACCTTGGTTGATAGTCTGAGACTACACATACTTTAAGACCCAAAGATGATTGAAACATAGAAATACAGTGGAACCTGTGTTAAGCAGACCCCATAGTGCATGGGGACATAGATGGACATATTTCAGTATTTTTTAGTGATAATTTTGTAAATTCTCATGTAAAATGGACAATTTATTTATTTTCTTTTTTTGTTTCTTATTTACTGACTGACTGACTTACTTACTTAGTAAGCACAGATCCTCTGTTAAGTGGTCACCAGATGGTCCCTAAATTTTCTTCCCATAGCTACTGTAAAATACATGTAAACCTGCGCTCAGCAGACACCTCTGGATGCGGACACCACTATAAAGCATTTTGCTGCATAAAACATTCATTTGACAAAACCTGCAATAAGCAGGTACTTCAAAAGCCTGTTAATCCAAAATCAATCTTCTGTGCACTGAGGGCAAGAATTTGTTCTCAGTGGAACAACACGTTTTAAAATGTTTTACAATTTGATTATCTGGGATTATCAAAAAAATTATGATAATTTGATACATGTAGTTTCATAATCTGAGCCTCCAGTTTGGAGTTAAGCTAATTAAATTAAAAGATGAAGAAGCATCTGTAAAAAGTTAATCTCAATCTGTCAAAGTAAATAATTCACAAAACCAGTGAGAACATGAGCTATGCACAACTCTCATCTTACACTTTTATCAGCTCTGTCAGCACAGCTGATATTTTCTGAATATTTTACTTCACATTGGAAGTATAGATAGGTCTTAAGCTTTTTTTATTCAGCAGTCTTGGTTAAAATTTGGAAACTGGACTATTTGATTCAACTGAACTTTCACATTGGGTTGCTGTGGATACAGCTGTAAGTGTTCAGTTTTGATGTGTTTATTGTGCTGAGGCTTTTAAATATTTCTTTCCTCTTTAGGCTTGGGAGGAGATGGAAGCTCGACTGACTGGTCCCCCTCCTGAAGCAGATAGTGAAAGAGAAAAAAATTTCCAAAAAGGTACATATAATGGATTGTTAATCAAAACACGAATGGCCCATTTATACAAGACACAAGTTATCTGGTGCTGATTTAACAAGATTTGTCAGCCTCGGTGATGATTTATTAGACTTTAGCTCAGCGATGTATTCAATTTTACTCTGAAGACTTCATCTTTTAGAGAGTAAAGACTTTTACTACCTGATGGATTTGGCAGAAGCTTTTAAAATCTTTCAGCTTTGTTTTATTCATCAATTGTGCACGTTATCAATCATTTTAATATAGATAGGATCCTGCACCTGCTCTGATTGGTCAAAAACCCATGTTTTATCAGAGTGTAATACACGGGTAAGGCTTCTTTATTTGTTAAATAAATGAACTCAAAGATGAAAATCAGTCGGCATTTTACAGAATCGTTGGGTTTGCCAGCAAATGTATACTTGCTTGTGCCTCCCTCCCAACCCATTGATTTCTTTGCNAATGTTTTAATAATGTGTGAGTTGGAATGTTGCTTGCAGGCCAGCAGTTGGTTTGCGCTTTAATGACCAGAACAAGAGTAAAATAGCTGACTATAATCTTGTGCAATGTATTAATTAAAATTATCTTAAGTTTTTAATTTCTTTCAGTGATGACATGGTGTTTGTACTACCTGACAAAACATCCTGAGGTTCAGGAGAAAGTTTTTGACGAACTGGACAAAGTTTTGGGAGATGAAGACATCAAACCACAAGTAGTCTCGGAACTCACGTGAGTCTACCTCATCATCATCATCATCATCATTATCATTCTCCTCCACCTCCTCCTGCTCTGCCCACCACATCATAAATATCATCTGCCATCGTCACTGTCGTCATTATCTTTATCAAATACAAAGTCTGTGGATGAAACTGTTTTATGAGGCCATCCAACAGAAAGATTCTGAACATAACTTTGTCATGTGGCATTGTTTGTTTCTATCATCATTATTATGTGGATCTCTTTCTTTATTTTGAATTATTTTTCCAAGGGCTTATTTGAACTTGTGTCATATCCATTCAGGTACACTCGTCAAGTGATAAATGAGACATTACGTGCCTCAGTGGTGGCTCCATGGGGTGCACGAGTTTACGAGTATGACCTTCAGGTCGATGAATTTGTTATTCCTAAAGAGGTACGTTCAGTGTTCTACCCTGGTACACTCTTCAAACTGGTCACATGGACCATTGACTAGGAATGGGAAGTATTATAATCATTATTGTTCCTGAGTCCTGACCACTTAT